TGTTAGACATCATCATGAACTTTAATGGAAACTTTTCTGACAAGTAGACATTAGCTCATTGTATAGCATCTTATGTGTGACTATTGTTTGTTTTCAAGTGTGACTTCTGGAAGAAAAGAAGTCATTACTGCTTAATATTTTCTACACTATGGCAGCTTCCTGCAGCTTGTTTTGATTTTAGACAGCTAATATTAAAAAAAAATCCACATATTAAAAACTGAATCATGGAGATCCCCACATTGTTTTAGTGTCTTTATAATGAGGAAAAAGTCTGTTTCTCTCTTAGGGAGGAGTACCACAGAGCTTAATTGAGAGGGAACCAAGAAAGTTCTATAAGAATAATTCTTAAAAAACCCCCAAAAAACCCAACCCAAACAAATAAAAAACTGAATCAAACACACACACATCACATTGGCTAAATTTCCTTTGTGCATTTATATGACCTTCTCAGTCACAGGATATTTTGGGAGACATTATATGACTGACAATGCTAAAATTGTCCCTGGTAACCACTTCACCAATTAGCCCCTGGTGACCTATCCACCAATTAGTCAGCTAAAAGGAGCCGAAGAGGGGCCTTTTCTTATATCCTTGGAGCTCTTTACAACTAAAGAATCCAGCCCATGAGATTTAATAGAGAAATAAGATTCATTCTATTGGATGATTAAATCTTCTCAGCGCATTAGGTACATTGTGAAAGAATGAAACAGGCTCTCATAACCTCGGGGAAAATTCTACAATGCTTTAATCAACCATTTTATATAGGCTTGGCAGAATTCAATTTTTTTAAATCATTTTGATGGCTAAAAATGGGTCATTTTTTAGTAATTTATTTATTTAAATGTTCGAGATTGCTCAAAGTTGGAGGGGTGAGGGTGCAGACAATTTGGTAATGACAGTATACTGTTAAAAGCTTTATAAAAATAATGTAAAAATATAAAAAGTAAAATATGTATAAATCAATAAACGATACCTGCTTTAAACCATTCTGTTCATTCATCAGGAAAGAGGTGGGCAGGCAGGGACCAGAAGAGGAGAGCAGTGGCACTCCCAGAGTTCTGGGAACACAGGGAGATGCAGTGGGCACCCTTGGCCCCCACGTTTAGCTGGCCCGGCCCAGGCAGGACTCTAATGCCACCCTGCTGAATTCTCGAATACTCTTCCCCACTTCTCCCCCTCTAGGCTTTGGGTAGAGGTTTGTTTAAGTAGCCTATCTCCCTCCAGCCAGCTTCCAGGCACAGGAGCAGCTAATTGCTTAATTGACAAGTCATTAGGCTACCCATTGTCTTCCTCTTTGTTTCCCCCTGTCCATGTGTCTCTTTTTCCACTGTCCAGTAACAGGGCTGAGGGTTCCCCGTTACAGACCCCTTTCTTTAAATTTTGATTTTTAACGATGGAAATTGTTTGCTTGCGGGTGCGCAGTGAAATCGCCATTTATCAATTTTTAAAAATCCAATCCTGCCAAGCTTGATTATATAGAAAGGTGACTATTTTATAGTACATTTTAAAGACTTTTTCCTGTAGTTGTCTTACAGTATTACACAGCCATGTACAATGTTTCAAGGAATATAAAAGTCTAGGGCTCCAACATTCTTGGACTTCAGTAGGAAACAAAAATTAAGAATGACTAAATATTGTGCCAGATAGCTTAAAAATTAGAACCATCATTAATACTTCTTTTTGCAAAGGTAAGAAAGGCAATTTTACAAATAAAGGGAACAGAGGTATAAAGGAAGTGATCAATGTCTGAAGAGTCAGTGCCAGAGTTGGGACCCGTGTCATGATACCCAAGTTGCATTCTGATACTTTAGATGTAGCACTCCAAGGTGTCAAAATTAACACCTTCTTTCAGAAACACAACTAGTTAGGATGGAAGGTACCAACCATTAGTGCAAAATGAAAAGGATTGCAAAATATTTACTATTCCTCCCCCACCCTTTGTTTTGTCCTGCTCCAGTATATTCCATCTCCAGCTATAAAGTTCAGGTCTTGATAGGAATTTATCCAAAACATAAGGGTTTTCAGATACAGATCCTGAAACGAAAGGCTCTATATTGTGCCCTGAAAGTTTTCTGGCGTCAGTATCAGCTGATGAAGACATTTGAAAAGCATTTGGATCTAATAGAATTTCTGAGCTCCAACCAAAAACAACAATCTAATTGTCTCGCCTGAAAGGGAGGCTCAGCTTTTGGGCTTCCTGTAACTGTATCTCCTCATCCACTGCCCTGCCAGGTATTCTTCAAAAAAAACAAAACAAAACAAAAAACCCCAGAACACACAACCCCCCGCCACACACAGACTACATAGTATATTACAATAGATGCAGGTGACAAAGGAGGCAAGTATATAATTTTCAATGCAAGGCAGGGAAAAAGGTGCTTAACAAAAAAACACAGAGGAAATCAAAATAGTGTTTGTCAATTTGAAATGACTGACATGACAAGTCTCCAAAAAGAAAAATCAAACATCTGAAAGTAATTGCTATACTTTGAGATCTAAATTTGCCTTTTTTATAAGAAATGTGGTATTTAAAAATGCAGTGTGTTTTAGTATGCGTGTCATGTGCTTCAAATTGTCTCGGTTTTCTATGCTTAATTTCAGGATAGGTTTAGCCTCACCTCAGATAGCACCAAATGCACAATTATGGTCATTTTCAAAATTATAATAACTGGGGTGGGGGAGGAGAAGAAATTAGGAAAAGTGCTGGATTGAATAGTCTAGCTTCATATACTCCAACTGATCCATAAAGCACCAAGAAAATATTCAGCATAGCCCTGCCTGACATATTCAGGACGAAAAGCACGACTAAGCAGGGAAATATGGATATTTCAGTTCACATAATCTTATGCCCTCCTGTCTGTTCTGATTGCTACTGCAATCTCATCTCTACCATCACCATATACTTTTCACCAATTGACTCCTCCTTCATTAAGACTCCTGTATACTCCTCCCCTTCTCTCCCTTCCAACTCTGACATTCATTCAAATGCCACTTTGTCCGTTGCCAGGTATTCTGCTTATTTTTCAGTTTCTTACCTTATTCTGAGACCTGCTGGTACTATGTTATTTTCACTGGAACTTTAGTTATAAGGTTACCTAAATACTTAAGGATTCAACTCTCATTTAATTTAAGGAGGACTTGAGTAACTAATTTCTTTGTTTCCCCCTTGATCACCCAATTCAACACACAAACATCTGAAACTGATGAAAATGGAGAAGTAGGCTGACCCACAGGAGCCACCATATCAAATTGCTATTATACAATGAGGAAACAGGTGCCTCCCTAGATTGGAGCAATAAGAGAGAACATGAAGTCCTCGTCTTTGACGTTTGAGAAGGTGGAACACACTGGCAGCCCTGCAATACAGGCCAGGTGATGGGGGAGGAAAGGACTTGGGCAAGATTTGGGTGTCTCCATGAATACTCCCTACCAGCTCTCATGAAGAAACACATCATGACACAGCACATCCTGGGCCATTGGGAGGGAAAGCCTGTAGGATACAGTGCTCTTTGAATCCTTGCTTCTTCACTACCATAAACCAGATGTGGGAACTATCATATTTACTTGAATATAAGATGACCCCCAATAATTAGATTCTATATATGGAAAATTTAAGTGTTATAATCTAGTTATTGGATGTTTGCCTGGAATTTATCCCTCTCTCACTGCTACAACATGGAAAATAAACCTGGGGGAAGAAGGAGGGGAGAAAGAGTTAAATGGCAATGGCCCTCCTCCCCACAACTTCTTCTCCCCACAGCCCCTTTTCCCCCACTACTGTCAGACCCTGTTCTCCCTAAGCACATGGAAGTGACAAGCACATTTGAAAACACTGAACTTGAAACAAACGTACCTATAGTAATTTGCATATAGTACCCATAGACTTAGTTCATCCAGAATTGATGCATTTTATGTTTTTGAACCACTGCAAGTTTTAGCACAGGTATTCCATAAGCACACTTAAGCACCACTTTTGTACCTACGTATATAGAATTAAAGCTGTGCATGATATTAGTCCAAAGCCAAAAGGCTCATAGATTCATAGATTGTAGAGTCGGAAGGGACCACAATGGATCATCGTGTCTGACCCCCTGCCCCGGCAGGAAAGAGGACTGAGGTCAGATGACTCCAGCCAGGTGACTATCTAGCCTCCTCTTGAAGACCTCCAGGTTAGGTGATAGTACTATCACTCTTGGAAGCCCATGTCAGATTCTGGCCAACCTTACTGTAAAAAAATTCTTCCTAATATCTAACCTAAATCTACTCTCCACTAGTTTGCACCCATTATTCCTAGTTACTACCAGG